TTACCAAAATAAAGTTTCATATCATGTGAATTGGTACATTTTCATTTTTTTGGTAAAATATTTCACTCCTGAAAAAATAAAATTGCATCTTCTTCTGCGTTTGGCAAATCTGAAAGATGCATTTTCGTAGCACTAAAAAATAGCGTCAAAAATCAGCAAACAAGGCAAACAGATAACTGCGTGCGAACAACAAGACTGCTCTTTATTGGTGCAACTTCTGCTGCAGTGGCATTAACCTTTTGATGGGATGGCCATTATAGTGGCTACAGACTCCTGTTTGAAATGACGGGGTTGTCCACTTTAGTGGCCATGTCTTTTTCCCCCATTTTCCAGGCTGAAAGAGTGGGGTGAAATGTCAAATTTTACGTCCCTGAGGTTTTAACCACTTATCTCTTTCAAAGGTCCTTTACGTTAAGAATCTGGTTTTTCCCAATTTTTCCCTTTTAGTTCTTGTAGCTACAGGATTCGCGATATCTGCATTTGTAAATTGTAAACAGAGCTTTGCATTGCTTTAGAATATTGCGTATTTTCGTAACTTTTTTAGGAATTATTTTGACATTTTTCTAGCAATATGCCGAAAAGGAAAAGAGGTCTGACTGAAGAAACAATACGAAAACTTCTTCAACAGCTTGATGATGAAATATATACACATATATATATCTGTATATTTATACATGTATGCATAAATCCACACGCAAACACATATATATAAATGCACATGTGTGCCTGTGTGTGTGCATGCATGTGTCTAGATATACGTTATTCCCATTTAAGGGTATGCATGCTTTCCGCTTTATATGCACATCTGCACTTATACCGCATTATATCAATGCAGACATACATACTACATAGATATGTAGGTATACATTTCCACAAACAAGCATAAATTCCCACGTACTTGTATACATGTACAAGCACTTTTCCTTAAATTCTTAACAGTTCTGTCTGTCTATTTCCATATATATCTGTTTATGCTGAAGTGACCTTCACACACGGAAGTTTACTGTGATGGTACTGTTATTCAGACAAATCACAAGAACATAAATATAAATTTTGTGTCAAAGAAACAACAGTAGTTTTACAATTTCAGTCTGAAACGTGGAAATCGTAAATACACTAAAACTAGTCAATCAGTTTGAAAGGTCATCTCTAGCCATTAGATTCCAGATGTACTGTTATTTAAAGGTACCTCCGTTTCAGTATCTCAATTTCACGGTCAAATAATTTTGAATTAAGATGTTCAGAATGGATTAGAGTATCATTTGTGAAATTTCACTGTCCGTTGAGCTCCAAGAATACAAACAGGATGTAAAAGCTCTCAAATAATATACAAATCATTGTTCTAAGATAACACATGTTCCCCATCTGAATTTTTGAACTTTGACCTTTTAAGTGATCGAATGCCTTTGTCATTCATTTCAATAAAAAAAGAGAAAAACAGTTAATTCAACTGTGTCAGTATAGATTTCGTATGACCTGACAATGAAGATTTTTTAAGTAACTGCAAGTAAAGATACTCGCTAATATATCGTAAAATTTAAATTCCACCATATAAAATATGCCGCCATGGTTGATGTTAAAGCTGCTAACAAAGACAGTCTGGAGTTGAAACAAACTGGTTTAAACAATAAAGGAAATAGAAAAATTCACATGGGACCGGAGAGAATTTTCCTGACTGGGCACCTGAAATTATCTGGAAATTTCTCTTATTGTGCTAAATTATGTAGCATAATATAGAGTAACATAATACAGTACTGACAACAACTAATTATCCCATAGTTTTTGCAGACACTATGCATAACAAACAATGTTCCCTTCAATTTGAAAAACTCTTTGCACTAAGAAATTACCTAAGTTTTGATACCTGAGTAAACACGTTCCCTTAGTGAAGCTGGGAATTTAGCTTTAGACAAATGGAATTTATATTTTGAATTATGGGTTTACATACTAAATAATTTGACATTTTTAATGACTTAAATTCATTTTATTATTAATACTTGAAATATATCACTTCCTAATTGTCAATAAACAGTATAAAATTATACATGATTAAATAATTTTTTTTATCAAATTTATAAAACTAAAATATTATATTCTAAAAAACAGTTTTTGAGTGTCTGTTTTATTATGCATTAATTTTGGAAAAGAACTGAATTTTAATTAGTAGCACTTATATAGTTAGACATTGCAGTACTAACAGTCTACAATACAATAAAATTATTTTTAATTAAACCAGTTATATTCTAATTTGCTGAAAGTTTCCTCCTTAAATAGTATGTTATCAAGCAGATTTTGAACAATTATGTAAAATTAAAATTTCACTACACCTATAGAGCATAATTTTAACACTTCCACTGAACTTTAATTTTTGATCTTTTCTATGGCTTTAAGCGTTTTAATGTAAAGATACGATAGAAATAAATATTGTAAGCACTTAGTAAAGACACATAGTTTTGCAGTGTAATTTAAAATTCAAACAAAAATTTTATAAAAACGAAAGTAACAACCTATACTATAAAGAATGGCATTTTCTTCAACAAAGGTTTACACATTTCCCAGTAGTCTCAATCCGGAACAACTGTAATATGAAATTTTCCCTCAGTGACGAATAGCACCTTGAAGTCTGATCACTAATCCCTACACTTCCCTTCCTTTTGCAACATAGATGCATCCCTCTGAGAATCCATTAAACTACACAAAAGAATCTTTGTTGCAAATAGGAGGTGATTTTTTCAAGGGGGGAAAGCATTCGGTTCAAGATTTCCGGTCCTTTCAAGGCTTTTACTGCTACCAAAGCCCTGGCCTCAAAAGGTTGATACATAAGTACCGAGCAAAAAGTTTTGTTACAGTCTGAAGACAAAAATATATATATTCGTTCTTCATAAGATAAACTTACAGTAATCAGAAAATGTTTCCCTTTTTGAGTAATTTTTTCTATTTTGAGAGAAATTTGTATCAGCTTTACTACATATTATTATGAGAACTGCCAATTAAATTGCTCACTGGTACAGAAATTACTTTATTTTTCTCAGACCTATTTTTAACAGTGAAAGTAGTAACTACATCTCCATTTACTTTAGATATTTTATAACTTTCAATAGAGCCTTTTATCTTAACTTTATAAAAAATGCAAGAATGGGTTCGATTGGTCAAGGATTCGAGGACATTTCTTTTAAGATAGCCAGTACGTAAATACATGTTTAAAAATGTTTCTTATTTCAGTTGTAGAGGCATTAGGTTATTTCGAAGCAGGAAAGAGAAAAATGAACAATGCCCTTGCCAGGACTCAAACTACGGAGCCCTTGAATATGTGCCGTGTGTGCTGATCACTACACCACAAAGGCAGGAGAAATACCTTATACAATATGCAGCTCTTGGAAACGTTTGCTTTTTCTTCATTTCAAAATAATAAATATCAACAATGAGTTCATCCATATGTATGCCCTTTTTTCAGCTGCTAAACTTAAGAGGTGGCAGGTGCACCTCATAATTTTTCCTTTTTTATGATGCCTGCAACACCAGTCTTCATACCTACCATTAGTGGTGCATTATCAGGACCAAGTGACAGCAATTATCCAGAGGAACTGCATTTTAAATTTTTAATTAGCTGTGCGATAATAAAGCCTGTGGAATGGCTTTCTAAAGTGGGGACAGAAAGTAAACTACGCTCAATTTCTAGACACTGAATTCAAAAAGGAAGTAGATACGGGTTTGAATCGACATTATTGCTTCCATCCATAGAGAGGCAAAATGAAACTGTTTTACTGCAATCAATAACTATAAGATTTATTTTTCATACCCATTTCTTTAACAATTGCAAACTTTTATTCCTTGCCTTGGATTCACGATACCACATTTTCAGAATGAAACCACTGCATGTCAAAAAGTGAACTAATTAGAGAAATGAAAGGTAAGTTCACATTAATAAGACATGATACAGAGGATAAACGGTTGTTTCCTCTTATTTTTAAATGACCAGACATATATTTCCATGCATTTATCAACAATAGCCGAACTGATCAGTCATACAGTTGTATGTATCACCTACTAAGAACACTGTTTAAGACATGTGACTCGGTATTATACACATAAGAAAGTGTAAGAACATATAAATATGCAATGCTTACATGGGATTCAAACCATTTATGCAATGCTATGTAAAATCCAAAAGTAATGTTGAAATAGAAAATACTACACTACACTAAATCAAGCACACTTGTTAACTATATATTCTCTCTATAAGAATAATTAACATTAAGCAAACAAAGATACTTTACACAATGGATACTTAAATTTTCAATAAAAATTACTCAGCTCTATACTATTAAACAGAAAATGAAAAACAAAGGTGATAACTATGTGAGTATTTTTCTACATTACTAAACATATTCTTAGTATAAATATGTAAATTTTTGTGAAGGATAAGTATTTGAATATAAAGATTAAAAAAATTATATCTTTTGAATCATGAATTTTAGTTTTGGAAAAAAAAATTCTTCTAACAGACTAATATAAAAGTTAACCTACCATTAATGTTTAAAGTGATTATACTAATACCAGAAACCAAATAAACAAATAATGCTGCATTAAAAAACAATGATTACAATTTCCAAATTATATTTTGTTTAAAAATGATGGATCATCATGAATGAAATTTGATTCTTTTCAAAATTCTTTAATTTTGAATATTTTCTTTATATATACTTTCTTCAAATAGATATTCTTTAGAATACTAAACAAAATAACCAATTTTAGATTAAATATTTCAGGAATACTAAACATTCAATGAATAATGTTCACGATCTTTTTTTTTTTAGAATATAGCATTTCTTTCTTGACAGCACGGTTTTAATTATTTTTACAACAAACCAATTTTTTCATATTTAATAATTAAAAAATAAGTTAAAAATTCTGAAAATTTTCAAAAACACTAAAAAATTTTAAACAAAATATACAAACCTCATTGTTAGAATTTCCCAATACACTGTAACACATACAAATAACAAGAAGACGTTTTATTAATTCTCTATGGAATATAATATATACATTGAATGATTCTTAAGATATGAAAGGTAAAAATAAAGAATGTCGTTCAAGTTCTGGAAAAAAAAAGTTAATGTCTATAAAATACGGTTACTCTGAATCATCTTCTTTTTTTATTTCTAATTTGACTTTTTTCACAGGAACGGTCTCTTCAGCCGTATCGTCCAACTTTCGTTTCTTTTTATCAAGTTTTGTGGTTAGAAATGAATCATCGGAAGCCTTATATTGGAAAACTTTACTTTTATTTTCGTATCTGTCAAATCTTGCTTTAGCTTTTCCAGTGCCACTTAATCTAGTAGTTTTGCCTTCCTCCAGTTGTTTCAGAGCACGTTCCAACTTTGCACGATGCTCGACACCAATGTCTATATCTTCTTCTCCAAATGCATCTACTCGAGCAGCAAGAGCAGTTTTCGCAGCTAGCATTCGCGACATTTTGCCTTTCAGTGCAGTATGACTTTGGCCTATGAGCTGGGCATGATAAATAAGCCCGTACTTTGGAGTGTCGTGCCTCGCCTTTAATGCTCGAAACAATGCCTTTTCTGCACCAAGAATCTGAACTGTAGAAGCTGGATGTTTTGCCAAATTCACAAGCGACCCAGCATGGGCAATCAGGCGAGCTCCAACCATTTCACCAACTAGGGATGCCATATTTGGTGCAATTGCAGCCATACGGTTTTTCAAATATTCAGACAGCCGAGCTCTGCAATCTTGCATTTGGAGGACTTCTTCGCATAAATTTTTAATATTAGTCAGATCCTCCTCTAAAATTTCAGTTCCCATAGAGATTTCAGCCATCTCTTTCACTTTTTGCTCATCTTCTTCAGTAAGAAGATCTGACAAATCGGTATTGATAGCATTCTCACGGAATCCAATAGCTAGAATCGTTTTTATGTAGAGTTGATTGTCCGAGATGATTTTAGAAAGTTCAGGAAAATGCCATCCATACCATTCCTTACATCTCATGGTATAATTATTCAATTCCTTATCTAAATCATCCAAAGTATTAACAGCTTCAATAATCATTTTATCAATTTTGTCTGGGCTAAATTTAAATTTATAACGGGATAGGCTATGTGCAACTCCCAAAGACATGGCAGCTAATTCTTTTTGAGGTAACCCATCTAATAAGCTGTCGAGATGCATTCTAATACAACGCATCAGCTCCTGTATTGCAGAATTAGAAACACAACTTATGTTTAATTTTGAACTAATTGTGTTACCTAATTTGGCATCCGCGACAGCCAGCTCTTCTTGCGCTTCTTCAACAAAAATCTTTTTCAGAAACTTTTTTAATTTTTTGCTCATTTTACCTTTTATGATTGCTGTTGCCGAATCAATTGAATCTTGGATATCACTGAACTTTTCAAAATGTTTGAGTTTCAGAAACTTGGATGCCTTTTCTGCAGATTTAAACTCTTTATACAGATTATCAGGTTGCTGTAGTTTCTTTTCCTTCAAAACTTTGTAAACAGCGAAACCGCTAGCCGTTTCAAAGAGCACCAACATTTTGATTTGTAATAAAAATCAGAAACAAATAACTATTTGGAATAAACAACGTGGTCTAGAAACAAACATGGATCTCACAAACCGGTACGAGTTGAGTTGCAAATAACAAATATTGCCAGATTTCGTTATAAAATACTTGTTCGAAATTTTCTTCTTAGGAGTTATTCTGGAATCCAGTTGCCGCTGTATGGAGGTAGGAAGTAAGATGGAGTCGCCCTAAACAAGTTTCTCCGTACCCTGCTCTGAAGAACCGGCGATCCCTACGTGGTGACCAAAACATTGGGTCATTTACCATTGAGTTCTATGGGATTTGATGCGTTCGGATGTAAATATTTTGTAATTACGTCGTAAATATACATATCAATGTATATATTTTCTTTTTCTACAAAACTTCAGAGTCCTTAGTATGTGAAAACAACATATTTTTAAACATCATTTCATTCTGAACGGAATTATATGCTATACTTTTCACAGGACAGTTTTCTCAGAATGGTTTTTTTTTTAATGAAATATTTTCACAAGTTTTTCGTTAATTACATTAGAAAAAAATTAAGGTAATTCGATTTTATTCGGTTAAGGTACAAAAATTAAGATCAAAGTTTATTGTATTATTAATATTAAAATTATGCATTATTTCTTTTCTATTTATAGAGCTTCTTCCTAAAATACTTCCTTAAATATGACATGATTTTTTGGCTTCTTTTAAATCGAAAAATGTAAATCAATTTATAATTAATGCTCTATTCGGTTCATTTTAAGTTTCTCTGAAGATCCATCACCTACATCATTACCAAGCTTATTGGATATCTCTGGCATGCTATCTACATTCATAAGATAAGTAGGTTTCAAACCTATCAATAGAGAGTTTTAACACTTCACTAATTTAACACTTTCTTTTTATGTGCACAGAATAATACTTATCATGTCTTTCTAACACAGAAAATGGGCCATCATAGGAAGGCTTGAGTGGTTTCTTCACTCGATCAATTCTCATGAAAACACGAGTACAGGTCCTTAGATCTTTAAGTACAAAAACTTTTGATAAGAATTGACATGTATTGGCAGACTTCATTGGCTTTAATAGAGCCATGTGCTGCTGAAGATTGAACACAAATGTGTCAGGTTCAACGCTGACACTGGGTTTTTCAAAAAATTCACCAGGAAGCCTGATACTGGTACCATATACCATTTGAGCAATAGAATGGTTTGTACCATCTCGGATAGCAGCTCTTAATCCCAACAAAATAGTTGGTAACATATCACTCCATTTTACATTATTATGAGCTTTTATTGCAGCCTTCAGTGTCCCTGTGAAAACGCTCTATTTTCCCATTGCATTGGGGATGATAGGGCGTTGTATGCAGAAGTTTAGCACCACAAATGGCAGCAAGATTTTTAAACATTTTGGAGGTAAACTGGCGGCCTTGGTCAGTTACAATACAGCTTGGCACTCCAAATCTGCTCACCCAATGTTCATAAAATGCTTTACTCACAATCTCCACAGTTATATCTTCCAAAGGAACTACCTCCATCCAACAGGAAAATCTGTCAATGCATGCAATAAATTTTACCATTAGATGGTGGCAAAGGCCCAATCAAATCAATATGATGACACTAAATCTGGCATCTGGTTCTTGATATGTACCAAACGTTGATTTGGTGTGTCTTGTTATTTTAACGTTTTGGCACTGCAGACAAGCTCGAGCCCAGTCACTTGTTTGTTTCTTCATCCTGGGCCATACAAACCTGGCAGTTATCTGTTTTACAGTAGATCTGACACCAGGATGTGCAAAACTATGGATATGATTATAAATTTTCTTGCGAACACTTTGAGGTACACATGCTCAAATATTCTTGATTGAAGTGTCACGCCATAGGACATTTCGAGATTGTAGTACATATTCCTTGAACGTGAAGTGTTACTTGCAATTAATTCTTTCAACTCAGGGTCATTCTGTTGTGCTTTGCAATTTCTTCATAATCAATTACAGGATACCTCTTCAATTCTGGATAGAGTATCTGCAACAACATTATCTTTTCCACTAATGTGCTGAATGTTTGTCGTAAATTGCGAGATGTACTGCAACTGACGCAGCTGCCTGGGTGAAGCTTTATCATTTTTTTGCTTGAATGCAAAAATCAGTGGCTTATGATCAGTGAAAATTTGAAAATACCTTCCTTTCCATATATTTAAACTGTGTAACAGAGAGCAGGGGCGTATAGAGGGGGGCAAGGGGGTGCATCTGTCCCCGGGCGCAGAATCCAAGGGGCGCCATCCATCCTTGGCAAGCAGTAGGGGGCGCAAAATTTCCAGTTGTCCCTGGGCGCTGAAAACCCTAGCTACGACTCTGACAGAGAGATATATTGCGAGCAACTCACGATCATAAGTACTGTATTTTCTTTGAGCCCCATTTATTTGAATAAAATGCAACTGGTTTCCAGTTACCATCTTCATACTGCTGTAACACTGACCCAATTGCCCAATCTGAGGCATCGGTGCACGGACATTCAGGCTTTGGGTAATTTAAAAGGGCAGTATTAGCCAAGTTTGCCTTGCATTTCTCATGTTGCTTTATGCTTCCTTTGATCCAAAGTACTTTACTTTCTCTTTTTTCTTTGCTCCCCTAAGCATTTTAATGTAGTATGGCCTGAGTTTGAGCAGCATCTTTCAGGTATTTCCTATAAAAATTTACCATGCCAAAAAAAGTTCTTAAGCCATGCAGAGTTGATGGTAGTTCATAATCCAGAATAGCTTGGACTTTGCCTAGCAAGGGTTGTGAACCAGATGGCGTAACAAGGTATCCCAAAAATTCAATTTCTTTAACGCCAAATACAGATTTTGATACATTTATGCACAGGCCGTATTTATCAAGCATGTCAAAAACTAATTTCAGGTGTGTTTTATGCTATCTTCAGATGATGAAGCAATTAAAACATCATCCAGGTAAGGAAAACAGAAATCTAGCCCTCGAAACACTTCATGCACAAATCTTTGAAAAGTAGAAAAGGCATTCCGCAAACCAAAACTCACGACGTTGAATTCGTACAATCCAAATGGTGTTATGATGGCTGTTTATGGTGTGTCTTCCTCAGCTATGGGTATTTGATAGTATGCCTTGAATAAGTCTAATTTAGAGAAAATTGTTTTCCTACTCAAGATTAAATGAAAGTCCTCAATCCTAGGAATTGGGTATCTGTCTGGAATGGTCTGCTCGT